ATATTAAACACGCATTAAACTTAATAACTATAGATAACTTTGAACAGAACAGTTTTCAAGTATGTAACTACTGAAATATTATGCAATAAACATTCTATACAATATTCTATTTTCTGAGATTTTCCACAAATCTACAGCCCGCAAAGAATTATTCACACTTAATAGAACAAAACATTATTAGGTCAATCGATAACGATCAAGTAGATAGTCACTTGTAGAGATAAGTACGATAAGAATTATTTATCGGCAATCTTTGGCACTCATAACGACGTTAATTTTACTCAAGGCTAATGTCTGCCTCCAGTGCCATCATTACTTATGTTCTCTTCGAAGACTAATGGGTCAAAACTAAACTGCGGATTTCCATGCAAAATAAAACATTTATAGTATCAATTTAAAAAATGTGTTTTAGGCACGAACGTTTCTTTCACCATTTAAAAATTAAAGTATGGATTCAGCTTTTGAATAATTTTACACTCAGAATCAGCATTCATAATTTCTACGCATTCATTTGTTTTAAAAATACATAAAAGAATAAAGAAAAGAAGAATAGAATAAAAAGATCACCTCTTTGTTATTGGNATACATTAGGCTTAATCTTTTTTAATTCTACTACAAATGATCTTAACAATTGAAATTTCAATTCACGTTAAACAAAAATTTTATAAATCGTATTCATCATATTCAAGTGCTATGTGCAACAAATTGTACACATACAGCAATCTCATTGATTGTTCTGACAACTTGCATAGTTTGCAATCTGGCTTCGTTATCGTTAGACAAATTTGCGGTTCACCCACCGCAACGTTTCTCGCGTGCCTATCGATAACTCCAGTCGGGGGCAGTATCGATATTTCTCGAAACTTGTGAACTACGGTATACACACACGGCCTGAAATCTCGCTGCTGGCAAGGGTAAAAAGGACTTCGCCGATCGATGCGTGACTCCGTCTATGGTGCACGGCACGGCATGCGAAAGAGACCGATGGAAACAGAGGGGTTGAAGGAGAAAACGGGATGGGAAACGGAGGAAAGAAAAGGAAGAGAATACTCCCCCTTGCTGGGGAAAACAGTTGGGTGTCACGGCTATTCCGTCTATACAACCCCTGGTCTTCCACGCTTTTTTCCACTCAGCTTCGTCGCAAGCTCCCTTTCCCGCATTTCCACCTGTTCGGAGAGAATAATGAAAGGATTTTATTCGCGAGCGACGCCTATGGCACTCAAGCCAGCATCAAACGAAATCCGAGCGATTTTCGTTCACTGAGATGGATACTAAAAAAGCGGAAAATTGGGAAATTAGATATTATCCTAAAGACATAGGAAAGAGTGCGGATAAAGAAATGTGTGACAAGTTGTTNAAAAGTGTCAATGACCAAAAAACCTCATGTAATAGGCAGACAGTCAAAAATACAATAAAGTCAATTCTATTCTAATCTATTTATTTAAAATATTTTGCAATCGACTTCAAATATATAAGTAAATCTGAAATAAAGAAATATCCTTTCAGTTTCAACAAGTATGTTTTGTAGGTATTATATTAAACACGCATTAAACTTAATAACTATAGATAACTTTGAACAGAACAGTTTTCAAGTATGTAACTACTGAAATATTATGCAATAAACATTCTATACAATATTCTATTTTCTGAGATTTTCCACAAATCTACAGCCCGCAAAGAATTATTCACACTTAATAGAACAAAACATTATTAGGTCAATCGATAACGATCAAGTAGATAGTCACTTGTAGAGATAAGTACGATAAGAATTATTTATCGGCAATCTTTGGCACTCATAACGACGTTAATTTTACTCAAGGCTAATGTCTGCCTCCAGTGCCATCATTACTTATGTTCTCTTCGAAGACTAATGGGTCAAAACTAAACTGCGGATTTCCATGCAAAATAAAACATTTATAGTATCAATTTAAAAAATGTGTTTTAGGCACGAACGTTTCTTTCACCATTTAAAAATTAAAGTATGGATTCAGCTTTTGAATAATTTTACACTCAGAATCAGCATTCATAATTTCTACGCATTCATTTGTTTTAAAAATACATAAAAGAATAAAGAAAAGAAGAATAGAATAAAAAGATCACCTCTTTGTTATTGGAACAAGCATGGATAAGGAATCGATGTGATTTCTAAAGTAGGTTAGTCTGATTGGAGCTCGAACAAACGCAAATTAAAGGATCGTTCTTTGCGATTCATTCTTCTTAAGTACTTCGTCAGAGTTCATTGAAAATCGAGGTAAACGGATAAGAAAACTGAAGCCGTAGAAAATAAATAGGCGTCAAGTAACAGTGGTATGAGGATAGAAAACAAAGTAAAACAGATACACGGGGTAATCTGCCGTTGGTTTCAATCCCGCGGGAGCAATTCCAATGGAGAACATCGGATTTTATGTACATTTTCGACGGAATGCCAGCAATAAATTTGATACACGCCGGAATATGAATCCAATAGAAACAAAACAAGCATTACTGTGATTAAAAGAGTCGGAGAATGAAAACTAACAAAACGAATCAACGTTAACGAAACAAATTAAATTCATAATATGTTAAAATTAAAAGGAAAATATATTTTAAATAAAGAACGTTCTTTAAATGAGTATTAATTTAATACATGTTGAACTGGTTCTTGATTCATAAAATAGGTATAATGAAACGCCAATTATTTGCTTTAATTATACGTCAAGATTATTAAAATCAATATGGAATCTGAAAAATCTCTCGAGAATCGTTGGAAACTAGACTAGAAGCGATACGCAGCGATCGATTAAACACTTCCACGTCCTACCTTTTAAAATCCAAACCAGCAAACTAAAAAATAGTTATCCACCATCAAATATTTGCACAATATCTCTCGTAAGATTAATTTTTATCTGACTGAAAAGCCTGGATGCAAAAGATAGAAAAACTGATGGAGAATCGTTGAAAGCACACGTTGCGCAGCGGGAGAAAGAAGAAGAGAGAAAACTGGCAGAGAGAGGGAGAAAGAGAATGCGAGAGGGTGTTGGTAGGGTTGGATCAAGCGAAAGAGAGACGGCGTGTAGGTGAGAGGGTAGGAGAGCGAAAGGACAGAGAAACGAGGGTGTTGGTTGCGAGTCGATAAACCACGGGAAACGCGAGCTCCCTTGCGCACGGCTTCAACATGGCGGCCGGTAAGTCCCATTCCCTTTTTCCTTGGACGTTCTTTGGCCAGGTGTAGACCGAGGAACAGCAGAGTTGGTCAGATTGCGATCGATTCGAGCAACGCGTCTTCTTTCCTTTCTTCGCTCCGTGTTGGCGTGGGTACGAGCGAAAATGATCACGCGAAATCAATGAACACCGCGGACCACGCGGGTTCGTGTTCATGCGCGAGTGCGTTGGTGCGCGTGAACGTGTGTATGTTTCACCGTGTGCGAAGCTTGAAAAAAAAACCCTTTCCCATCGGCGATTCTCCGTGATTTTCGAATTCTCTGTATGCTTTCAGACGAAAATCCGATATGCGGCTCAGGGAGGCTGTCGTTTCGGTACCGCTGCATCCTGGGGGACTGAACAACAAGTAAGTGCAACCGTGAATCCGTTCAAGCGATCCGGTCGGTCGGTGTCTGCTGTGGTTCGTTCTGTAGTCACTCGATCTCCGTTTCCTCGTCGTGGTCGCTTTCGTGCAACCCCTCGTGCTTTCTTACGGCAGTATGGTAAGAAGGGGGCGGTTCCCGCGGACACATCACTGTTTTTTCTTTTGGGGCAACAGATTTCTTACTTCTGTTCTAATTGTAAGTTCTTTAACTGAATGACGTGGCTTTCTCCTTTTTTTCCCCCAAAAAATTAACTTCTTCTCTTCTCCTTTAAATTAATCGATTTAATGCAATTGATTTTTCTTTGATCTGTTTCGGTCAACAATGTCGGTATCGATACATTTTATTTTAATTTGCAGTAATTGATGACTCTATACCTCTTGATGTGATTGATTGTGTTCAATTACTATTCCTTAATTAATTAAATGCTTTATCTTTTTTGAATATATATTATTACTAAAGCAAGCCATTAGTATATTACTCCAGTAGTATCTCTAGTCTATTTTACACATCTAAAACTCATTTAATCAGTTTTATTTATAATAGTTTGCCATACACTAACACTAATTAAAGTCTTCTTAAATTAGATTTCTCGTAGAATTAGCGATTAAATCACAATTTAACTGCGTAGTTTTCACCGAGATCTAGCAATGAGTAGCTTTATATGTTACATAATTAGTGTAAATTGTAGAATATTTATTCCGTACCTTATTATTAGCAATGCCACGGCATTTAACTGAAAAGGAAAAGCCATAAGGTTAGTGTTGACTCTAAACGGTCCCCTTTTGATAAAGTTTACCGTATAATCGTTGGTAATCATTCTTCGTTATTTCCCTTTTTGTTTTACTCTTTTTATTCATGCATACCCAAGATACTCGTGCTTCTTGTGGTGCCTGATCAGAGCAAACAAATCGAAACAATTATCTATCCTACCCATTCTTATTTCACCGACTTCACTTTATTTTTTATAAATATTTTTTTTTTATCAAATAACTTACACACGTGTATACAGATACAATGTACAGACCATAAGTGATTGTCGCATGAATCTTTCCAGAACATAAAACAAAATGTACTTCAGACAGTTGTACATATGTGCCTTGTAAATAAATACGAGTATTTTTATTTTATTGTTATATTATTGCATTTTTATGTTCATTAATTTAACATTTTCACGACCAAGCAATGAAACTAAAGAGAAATTATGCTAAAATATAATTTAAGAAATGAAGAATTGTCCATTGTTATATGTTTTGCAAAATTATTTACAGATTAACAAAAGCATGAACTTCGAATAAGATATATTTTTTTTTATGAAATCAATATTACTTATGTTCTATACCGTCAGGCGTGAAATTGTTAATACCCCTTGCAATTTTAAGATCATACAACTCCTTAGCGAATTTTAAAAACGATTACACTATTATTTAATGATTACTTCATCATCTTCTGTATGACACGTTATTCTCACCATAATATATAGATACAGAACGCTTTGCACAGATTCACGTTATTCCTGTCGAATTCGAGAATGCATGCAAGATCATGCGAATTTTCTTTTTCAAACGACACACGCGACACACGACCGAATGGGAACTTTTTCATTTTGCATTTGAATAACGTCACGTACACGTGTTTCGTATACATACGAGTATCTTGATCAAATCCATCGTAATGAAATTGCACACTAACGCACCATTAAATTTATGGAATGGTCGACGAGACCGGCGGAAGCGAGCTCAAATCATGTCTACGTTGCTTGACGTCTTAAATCTGTTTTAACTATATCTCTACCATTTGATGTCGTGATGAAAATTCGTTCTTTCGTGCTGGTAACTTTAAACTGAGTAATATAAATTTACGCCTTTCCATGAGCATATAATATTATATAACAGTGGTGGCCAAACTTCAGTTCACACTAAGAGTCATATTAAATGTCTACAATAGTGAAAGTCTAGCTACCATTGTTACATAATATTACTTTTTCGTGAAAATGAAATTAAATCGCAAGAGACGTGAGAGAAGAATTACAATTCATGTAAAACAAGTGTATACAGGGTGTCCCAGAACTAGTGTTAGGCCTTGAAATGGGGTGGAGCCATGGTGATTTTAAACAACTTTTTCCTTTGCAAAAAAGTTGTCCGAGGCGTGGTAGTCGAGTTATTAACAAAAACTCTCGACGAATCAGAGCGCGAGTATACAA